GGAACAGCGCTGGGGAATCGGGGAAGGGGAACAGACAAGTTGCTGGCCTTTTGTTCTTCAGTCTAGTTGTGGAGGACGTCACTTCACTGGCCCATGTTGATATTATCATTGCGCTCTTCCCAGCCGAGGCAGATCAGTCGCCAGCCATTGGACGGCCACTCACGGTGGCTCACAGCTGCTCACGCTGGCTGCCAGCCACTCACGGTAGCTCACAGCAGCCCACTGCAGCAGGGGCTGCAGCCTACACTTTGCTGGCCCACGGCAGCCCAGCTCCAGGTCGAGCTGTTGTTCACCATCTTAGCTGTAGAGGGCGCAGCATCACTGGCCCTCATGTGGGACCCGAACCAGGGCCCTGCTGCTCAGAGCTGGTGTCCTAAGCCAACTCTTAACCAATGCATCACTCAGTTGGCCCAGAAATGTTTAATTTTAATGAAGTATACTTTTTTCATTTTTCTTATGGTTATTGATATTTGTGGTCTAAAAACATTTGTCTACTTCAAGATTATAAAAATTTATCCTATGTTTTCTTCTAAAAGGGTTTCCTTTGTTTTGTTTTTTTAATCACATGTGGATATCTTGTTGCTCTAGAAACATTTCTTGAAAAAGACTATCCTTTCTCCCATTGGCACCTTTGTAGACAATGACCTGACCAAATATGCCGTAGGGGTTAAGGGGTGGGTTATTTCTGAACTCTGTTCTGTTGTTATGCTAATATCATATCATCTTGATTACTGTAGCTTTATTGTATTTAAGTCTTGAAAAACAGTCATAAAAAGGAATGAAGTACTGATACATATACATGGTATAACATGGATGTACCTTGAAAACATTGAAAGAAGCTGGTCACAGGGCCGGCCGAGTGGCGCGTTGGTTAAGAGCTGGCTTGGGACGCCAGCTCTGAGCAGCAGGGCCCCCCTTCGAATCCCACATGAGGGCCAGTGACACTGCCCTTTACAGCTAAGGTGCTGAACAACAGCTCGACCTGGAGCTGAGCTGCAGTGAGTCACCGGCGACGGCGTAGGCTGCAGTGAAGCTGCAGTGGGCTGCCATAAGCTACCATGAGCGGCCGGCAGCCGGCGTGAGCTGCCGAGAGCTGCCATGAGCGGCCGTCCAGAGTCCGGCGACCGATCTGCCTCTCCTGGGAGAAGAGCACAATGATAATACCAACATGGGCCAGTGAAGCAACGTCCTCCACAACTAGACTGAAGAACAAAAGAACAGCAACTTGTCTGTTCCCCTTCCCTGATTCCCCAACGCTGTTCCCCTCCCCCAATTCCCCAATTAAAAAAATATATTTTTTTAAAGTAGATTAGTGGTTACCTAGGGCTAGAGGTTGGTAGAAAATGAGGAATAGCTGCTAATGGGTAGAGGTGTTTTGGGTTGTTTTGAAGGGAGGGCAGTGTTGATGGCACAAAAAGGGTGGTGTTTCTCACTGGAGCAGTTATCTGAATATCGGAATCTTTTCTGTTAAAATAGGGGCTTGAGAGGGGTAATTTGATAGTATGAACTGATGTGGTCAGTTTTCCTTATAGGCTACTTTTTTTCAGTCCCAAAATTTTTGAGCAAAAATATTTTGTTTCAGCTTAGTCATGAATTATAATTTGGAAAATAAGAAAACAAAATAAATGCTGTAAGCCATTTTGGCAAATCATGAAATAATGCCTTATATTTGATAAAAGAAAAACTAGGTGGATTGAATATTCATCTTAATCTCTGTAAGTTGCGGGGCTTAATATTTACATTTCAACTCTAGCACCACAAAGTTTAGATTCTATTTTGAGTTCTGGAATGTTCTTTCAATAGTCTTGAGCTTTGAGTAGACATCAGTTTTATCACAATGTCAGTGTGTTTGGTTACATTAGTGTAGTAGAGCCCCTGCAAGGGGACAAAGGATCCTGTGTACGACAACCAGATGCACAGAATTCCAGAATGAAAATTAGCCAGCCACACAAAAACTGCCTCAGGACAAGCAGAGCTGTCATATGTTTACTGTTTTCCTGCTGTTACAGAAGTTCAACCAGTTGAAGGATATAGTTTTGTGTTGTGGGTCCAATATAGTACTGACATGTGACTTTTATATGAGACATTTGGATGTGAGTTGAGTCTCTTCCTTGACAAGGGTGACTTGGGGGCAGTTTCACTTTTTTGAACACTTGCACCTGATAATCAGAGGGTTCTGGGTGTAGCCTTGCCAGCTGCTTGTCTACGTGAAACAGTTGTTTCCATTACCCAGTATTTCAAAGTAGCCTGCTCTTTATCTTTGGCAAACTCTTCTTAGGATACTTTTTGCACCTTCAAGACCTGCTTTGTGTATTGAAAACAGAGTAACAATTTAACAGATTAAGCTATTTCCAAAAAAACACATATACAGTCGACTCTGAACAAACAGGGATTGGGGCACTGACACCCATGCAATCGAAAATCACGTATAACTTTTGACTCCCCTTTGTATCTGCGGGGATTGGCTCTAGGACCCCTCGCAGATGCCAAAGTCTGTGATGCTCAAGTTCCCTGTATAAAATGGCGTAGATCAATGCATACACCCCCAATCATGAATTGGAAACGGTTATAGGTATTGGAAAAAATCTGTATTAATGGACCCAAGCAGTTCAAAACCCTGTTGTTCATGGGTCAGCTGTATTTGATTATTAAATCTTGGGTTGATGAGCAGTATTTTCATAGAACGATACTCATTCTATTGATCCTTTGCTTTTCCAGTGTTGACTTTGCCTAACTCTGCAACAGACATAACAGGGAGGGGCCCTTCCTAAGAGCCAAGAGTAGATAGCGCTTTGGTCATGCCACCTTTGCTCCAACCAGAAAGGTTCACTCTGTTACAGAAAGTGTTATTTTTAGGAAGAGGGTATGAGGTCTTAAAACATTTAAAAATGTAGAAAATTCAAAGTAACAGTCTGTGACCTTGAAGCCTTCGGTTTTGTGGGTGAGATAAGACAAACATATGAAAACCTAAATAGCAGTATAAACTGGTTATATTGAGTCCCCAGTGATTCACACCATGAGGCTTGGAGATGCCAGAGCAACAGAAATCACTGGGGCCCTGATGGTGGGAGGAGCCCCTGAGGCTGAGTGTTTTGAGAGACAGAAGAAAAGCAAGGTTATTTCTTGTTTTTGGCCGTCTCTGACTCATGTATTTTGGTAAGGAATGGAGTTAACCTGTTTTCATCTCCTCTTTGCAGCCTGAAGAGCTGAGAGAAATCATTGAGAAGACGAGAGAGATGGAGCAGAACAACGGCCACTACTTTGACACGGCAATTGTGAATTCAGATCTTGATAAAGCCTATCAGGAACTGCTTAGGTTAATTAACAAACTTGACACTGAACCTCAGTGGGTGCCATCCACTTGGCTGAGGTGAAGGAATATCCACCCTGTGGCATGATAGGACTTGATCTGGCAAATGGCCAGTACGAAGGTAGCCCTGATACTTCGGCGAGACTGAGGATAAGGTGGCAGGCAATGCAGACCCGTCCTTAGACCTCCAGCTAGTGAGAGGCAGCTCCCCTTAGGCAGTTCGTGCACAGCAGTTCTTATTCTCTATGGCTTTGGGTGGTCTTGCCTCATTGTGGGGGATTCTAAATGAAAGATTGCAACAGCAGTTCTATTTAATCCATGTAAAGACCTTTTGTTTTCACCTGTCCTTTCTGCCAAGTCATATTTCCATGAAAAAATGTGTATGTATATACACAGGGGTCGATGTCTCACAGTTATAAATATTGAAGTTATTTAACAGTTAAATTACCTTCATAGGAATTTGGGGGGTGGGGAGCCACGGTACTTCTGTGCACTGGGCAAGACTGTATTTAGAAGACTGCTTGAGTCATCAGAAATACTTTCCTAAAAAAATTTTTTTTAAAGGTGCCACTTTGGTCTGGAGCTACTCTGTTAGCCTTGAATTCATGTGTATGTCTTTTAATTCATGTCTTTTAATTCTTGGAAAACATTCCGTTAGAAGCACCAATTTTTTAGCTCAAACTTTGTGGATCAGACTTTATTGCACACTCAGCAGACTCTGGTCTAGTTAAACTTACATACAGCATATGCTGATCTTTTAAAAGATATGATTGTTTCCTTAAATTCTCTTGTCTGATTTGATAACCTTACTTCCTTTCTCTGATCTGCATAGTACAATAGAATATGTAAGTTGTTTTTATGAATGGCCAATGTCCATATAAATTGTGTTGACTATTCAAGTTTCTCATGATGCAAATAGTTTTTTATATACATGAGACATAGTACATTTGACAGTTTTTGCATTTTTATATAGGAGTGCAGAATTTGAAGACTGTGCTATATATAGGTAATGAACTGGAATTGTGTAATGACTATAGCTGCTGTACTATATACTAATATTTAATAGATTGACATGGTCATTGATAACACTTCAGCATTGGAATAAAATTATATCTGAGGGAGGGCCGGCTGAGTGGCTCAGTTGGTTAAGAGCTCGCTCAAGAGTTTGAGCTCTGAGCAACAACGGTTCGAGTCAGCCCGAGCTGAGCAGCCGCTGAGCTGCCAACAGGTAGCAGGATGGCTCAGCTAAAAAAAAAAAAAAAATTTATATCTGAGGGAAATACTATAATTGACTTTGAGGTCAGAAAGGATGACCTAAGTCATTTGAACATTTTAGGAAAAGAACATGGGGAGGGGGGGAGTTAAGCACATATCAAGAGGTTTTTATCCTAACAAAGTCTGCCTCTTATGACGAGAATGCAACAGCTTGCTAACTCATGTTTAAGCTAATGGGATTTTCGTACTGGCATGGAAAGTTAATTTGTAGTCTTTTCAAGGCTTTAGGGATGGTGTGATGTGTGAAAAACAACCTCAAATGTGAATGTCTTGTTTTCATTTTTATGACTTTAGCTACAGTAATTTCCTGTTCTCAAAGCTAAACACTGGAATAATATTGTCACTTAATTTAATATAAGCAATTGTTTTTAATGAGTAGTTTGTCTCAGTGTCATGTATATATTTGATTTTTTTCTTTCACATAATTTTATTTGAAGACATGTAGACAGTTTTTAAGTTGCCTTTTCTGTTCAAATGTGCATGGCCTCGAGGTTGGCTGTGGAGTGTGTCTTATGTGGAAATACTTTCAAGATAATGTTCCTTAGGAAGAAACATTCCTGGGTTAAGGTAAGGAATGTCACACATACTGTGCCATCTCTTCATCAAGTCTGAAACACTCCTAGCTTATGGCAGGAAATGCAAAGGTCACTGATTTTTTAGCATTGAAAACCAAGGAATATAAGCACTTCTTCTTTTCAGTTTTCCATTTACTTTCTCCTCAGGAATGAAAGGTAGTTTATGGTAGACAATGGAGTTTTGTGAGCTGCTTATCTTAACTGACAACTATTTTCAACCCTAAGTTCCAAAATGTTGGTAGTTTGAATTTAGACTGAGATTTCAGGTAGTGAAAGTGGCTGTTGTGCCAGTCCCAGAGTTAGCCTGCAGACCGCTGGGCCATACGGGCCATGTGCTATCGAGACGCAGGTTTGCTTTAACGAGCAAATCCCCTACCAGGCACATGCTATGCCATAGTATACTGTAGGAAGTCCAAGGTAACAAAAGGTATTTTGGGAGTCAGTAGAGTCTTACAGTTCTTTCCTCCTCAACAATGGTAGAGAGAGATAAATGTTGATGTCCCAAACTTTTCTCAATCCTAGTGATATTCAGTCCCTAAACAAAGTGAAAACTGAGTTACTGCTGACTTCCTTGAAAGAAAATAGGAGAAAAGCCTTGCTATACACCTATTTGTCAAGCCACTCTGGCCAGTTCCATTTCCTGTCCCTCTGTGGTTCTGATTGGAGACCCCAGTGTGGGGGAGGTCTTAACCACTTATAGGAATGATATAGCTAATGAAATGCACATGTTAGTTCAAATAAGGAAGTATCTTCCTTTACTAAATTTTCTTAAGTCAGAACAAATGGAAGGAGAATAGTAGACAAATCCAGATTTGCTTTCTATGAAAATCTAATATCTGGATTTTCTTGTTTTTCCTTTTCTCATGGCCTAAGGAATAAGTATTGATAAGGAATAATTTGAATGTAATTTTGTGAATGTGTGTGGAAAACATGAACCAGGGATTCAGCCTTAATAAAGGTAACCTTTCTGACATCTGTTGTTAATCCTTTGTACTCTCTTATCCTATATCTGCACTCTGTTATTTGGAGATGTCATACTGCACACTGTATTGTAAAAATGAAAAGTAAAATATATTTCAAATAAAAAAAGCCACTGGGTACTTTCTTTTGCTGTGTTTATATGCCACTGGGTACTTTCTTTTGCTGTGTTTATATCCTCTGCCTTTCATGATTTCAGCACATCTAACGACTACCCTGTCTTCAAATTTCTGCCTCAAGTAAGTCCTTTGGAACCTCTGGGTGAAATACAAAATACCTTTTAATTTATTCTTCACTATGGGGGAAAGCCCCCTATTGGCACAAATACAGGTTCTGGTTCCTTAATTGTTTTTTGGGTTTTGGGTTTTGGGTTTTTTTTAAAAAAAAAAGAGCAACTCCTTTTTTAATCGTTTTACTGCTTATACCATAGTCACATTTAAATTGGCAAAACTGTTCCCATGACAGACAGGCCAGAGACCTGTCATGCAAAGAAAAATAAAGTGAAGGTTTTCATAAAGCTTGTGGAAAGAAGTACCACAGTATAACACAAGGGTGGCTGGTACCACAGTAACAACACAGGGGTGGCAGCAGCGATCTCAAGACAGCCACGCCCAGGTGTGCAAGTGGGTAGGAGTGAAGGCGACGCTAGCAGCAGCTGGCTTGAGATCACTGCTGTTACCTATGGGGAGGTCCCTGATACACTTGGTAAGCCGATCACTTGTAACAGATGTAAATAGAATAGGGTGACACCTCTGCAGAGTAAGTTATACAAGTTCCTGGGCAGGTTCTATAAATATTGTGATAAATGGTTGCTGAATTATGATTCTGCAAAGGTAATACCATAAATGGATATCCAGGGCACGTTTACAACTAGTGCAATTCTTAGGCCAAGAAACAAACAGTGACACATACCAAATCTACACACTGTGAACTAAAATGGTGCCATTTCAGGGCCTCAGAAAGAACCAGAGCAGGAAAGATTATTCAAACAGAAGGTCCTCATCCTTCTCTTCAGCCAGAAGATTCGCAGGCTCCATCACCTCGCCAGCTGCCCTCCGTTGCTCCAACGCCTTCTCAGATTTTTCCTTGAGAATCTTTTTCTTCTCCTGTATTTTCTTTAACCTGTAAAATAAAGGAATTTTCTGAATGCTGTTTTGAATGCTAAGTAGATTTGCTTCTAGTTTTTTAACAAGGATAATAAACTAGAACAAAATTTGTTAATTTCATTCCTTTATAACCCATTTAAAAAAAGATCTGAGGTAGAATACACACATATTTTAAGCTAAGAACTGATTTCAAAAGCTCCTAACCTCGGGTGAATAAACTCTGAAATCCATTCCCTGATCATGGAACAAGCACTCAGGTATTTATTAAAACTTTGGATTATTCCATTTGAATCACCACAACCCTGAACATCACTGAAGGACAGAAACTAAATAACCTTTGATAATTAAGATTGTAAGTCGTACTCAACTACTCAAGGTCCAAGACAGCCATGTCTTCCCTGAATACGTCTGCCTTCGCCTGTCACCCACTTCTCTGAACCTGGCACACTGACCCCTGTACACACCTATTTAGTATTTATTGTCCCTACTAGCTCTAAATGTTCATAACCAATTATGTACACACATCATTTCTCTCCAAGTACTGTGTTAATTCTCTAATGGTACGATTTATACTATTATACAATGCTCCCAAGTACTTTATACTTTCTCCTGGAACATATCCAACATGCAATACATATTGGTGGACTGACTAATTCCAGTTTCTTTTTATGTGGGCGACACCCTATCTAAATCACTGTTTCATCATAAACAATAAAGTCTGTTAACAGTTCTCTGAAGGGCCCAAGTTTCTGGAGATGCCATGTTTTAGTTATGTGCAAAACTTGGCAAAGATCTGTCTCCATAGCCTTTGGCAGTATTATTTCTTATCAGAATAAAATACAAGTTGTGCTAATTAATTCTAAAGAACATAAACCAACAAGTTGCTCAGTAAATTGAGACTCTGGACTATGGAAAACAAAATGATCAATAACTGCCAATTCCAACAAACCTATAGAACTCTTCTCGCTCTCTCTCATCCAGCTCTGTGATGATATAAGCAAGGGTACGTTCAATCCGGGGAATGATGACTAGGGTTTAAAAAAATACATACGAATGAGAATTTCAAAACTTTGTTCAAATTGCCATTGTCCATTTGTATAAAACATTTTTTAATTGTAAAATTAATGTACATTTCATGCAGGAAACTTAGAAAACAAAAAATGAAGTATACTCCAACTACCCTAAAGTAACTATTGTAAATATTTCGATATATGCCCTTCTAGTGTCCTTTCTATGGACAGATAACATTGGACCACGATATATACAACACTGAATACATTCAATTTATATGAATATATAGCACTGAACCACAAATGTTAGTTTAAATGTAATAGCAATCCACTGTTAAAAAGTGGAGGAGCATCGAAGCAGAGAGAAGCAGTAAGTTGAGTGTCATTCATAAGATTCTACTCTACATAAAATTTGCCTATTTTGTTTCTAGAACGTGAACTCCTTGAGAGCTGAAACTATTACATTATCCATTTTGTTTTGCTTGCAATTCCATGTACGACACCTGGCACTAGCAGTTAGGAAATGTGTTTTAAGTTTTTTAAAAATGACATAAATTCCTCTTTAAAACTAAGAGAGCCCAAGCAAAATAATTTTCTTGCTATTCAAATTTTGCTTCCTTAACTGTAAAATTGAATAAATGTTCCTTTAATGAAAACTGAGCTTCTTGAGCAAAAGGTATCAACACTAAGCAGTCAGTTTTAAAACAATGAAATGCAATGGGAAATAAATGTATCAAATGGGAAATTTTATTTTTAGAAAGCCGCACAAGAAAAGGGCATAAGGCCTAAGGGAGAGGGATTTAAAGTTATATGTTTAATGTGTTCAAAAAAGGTATATCATTCACTCAATCATTGGAAAGAGCTAAAGGAAACACGAGGGCGCCTGAGAAATAAGAATTTCCACCCTTTATTCATGTATAACCGGAAATGAATATTCCATAATTTTTAACTCACCACTCTCCTCTGTAACTCCCCACACATCATACACATCCTCCTAGCAAAGCACTTAACACTTGACTGCACGTGTGACTTTGCCCCCCCACTGTGGGCAGGCTCACCCACCTGGCGGTCAGTGCCTGATTCCTAGCAGGTGCATAACAAATGTGGAGAGATGGACAAGTGGATGAACAAAGAGCCTCAAGCAGCTTGCACTCACCATGTTCAATGGCATTTACACGCCTGTTGGTTATCTTAATAGCTTCATCCAAAGTAACAAAGGAAGTCTAAAATAAGAGGACAGATTATTATGTAAGCACAAAGTTTTCCTAATCAGGCCTGGTTCACTTGGCTACACTCAGGCTGCACTTGCAGAGAACATTTGGAAACAAAGACTACTACTTTTCAACATGTTAAAAAAGAGGAAATTCTCATGGTATTTCCATAGAGCTCATAACCATCTCCATGCTACTATAATTTATTTACTTCAGACTCACCTAAAGTTATAAAAAAGGCAAAAGGAAAGAACCATGCACTAATGACCTAGATATATATTAACTGGCCACAAAGGAAATAACATGGCTTTCATAAATCATGTTATAAATCATGTTACGGTTGCATTTAAATCTAATACTGATTATTGCTGTTCTCATCTAGCAGAGTGAAACTAGACCACTGCACAAACATTTGGTTAGCAATAAGGACAATGCAGAAACTACCATTTCAGGAATCAACATCTTTGGCTTGTTTTACACGGGTCATGGAAACAGTCTAGTTACTAAGTGCATATGCTCTGATTCAAGATCAGTGTCTCCTGCACTCAGATATCAGAAATCAAGCTGCCGGAGTTCTCCAGCCACTGCCACCTACCTGCAGCGAGGCTAGTTCCACCAGTAGTTCCACCGCTTTGGCATAATTCCTCTTTAATTTAGCCAATTGTTCCCCACCTCTGGCTAAACCGGTCAGTTCATAACCTGAAAGAACCAGTCGGACAACATTTGTAATTTTAGAATAATCATCTTCCTTATAAAATTCCCCAAAAGAAGTCAGAACAAAATGGGAAAACAAATTCACTATCCCTGTTAAACATGAAGTGCCCATGTCACTCCCCAAACACGGCAGGACATGCTGCTCAGTGGTTTTCCACAAGGATGCTATCCTAACTACAGGAGGAGTTTTTAACCAACCTTCACTTCACCAGATGGCTGGCTTAACCAATGCTCCCCCTTCCCTTCATAGCTCACACTGCCTGAGGCCCCAGAACAGTGACACGCTGTGTTAACAGGTGACTCTCAAGAATGCTTGAGCATTCCTCTTTATTCGAGTTGTACTAAATATTTCATGTGAATCAATGAAAGATATGTGCCTAAGGAAGAATACTGTTTTCTATTTTTTAAAAAGTTGATTACTTTGGAAAGATCAAAGATGTGTTACTACTACCCAAAAAATGCTGTCAAATTACGAAATGGTCAGATAATTATAAAAAATTGAGAGCTATAAAAATCGAGGAAGATTCAGCTCAGACTGCATCACAGTGTCTAAGATCTTATTCTACGTTAGAGAAATCCAAACTGGAAATTATAAACAATGCATTAAGGGTGTGATTTATGCAAAAAGACAACATGGAAGTCTAATCAGTGGATTCATATTCAAAGGCCATGACCTTATATTTTTGAAAAGGTAAATGACTGTACATATATATATGTATATACATATGTAAATATATACATATATAATATTTTAAGACACATACAATGTTCAGTGACACACTTTTTTGATTAGCTGGTGAACTATTGTCCTGACTATAACAGATAAGAATGCTCTAATGCTGGAACTCTCTATCTAGCACCATTTTCCAGAACGAGGTTCATTTAAAGAGGAGGAATCAGGAGAAGCCAGAGACACACAATAACATAAAAAGTTTCACACTTACTGTCAGTTCCTTCATGGTAATGTTCAAATACTGGCAAAGTAACACCTGTTCAACAGAAAAAGTCAAGAGATTATCTGGACTAGTAACTGGTTTCAAGGAATGAATTTAGGATCCAGCCTTAAGTGTTCATTCCTATTCAAAAGCAAATTATGCTGAGTAATGAGGGATCTGGTGATTACAGCAGTTTTTCTTTCCTTTCAGCTTTGAGGTACACTTAATCTACAAAAAATTGCACATATTTAATGTATACATTTTTATGAGTTTGGAACATAACGCATACAACCATATCACCACCACATTCAAGGTAATAAACATATCCATCACCTCCAAAAGGTTCTCTGTGTCCGTGTGTGTGTGTGTGTGTGTGTGTGTGTGTGTGTGTGTAAGAACACTCACACATGAGATCTACCCTCTTAAGTTTTTAAGTGCACAACATGTATTATTCTGTTGGCAGTATACAGTATAGCATATCTCTAGAATGCATTCATCTTGTATAACTGTAATTTTATATCCACTGAACAACTGCCTGTTTCCCCCACCTCAATCCCATGGCAACCACCAATTACAATGAGTTTAACATGTAAAGCCAACCAACTTGTCCTAAGTAGAAAAGATTAACTGGGATATCAAGATCTTGCTTGATAAAAACAGGTTAATGTTAAAATGTCATCTTTTCTCCCACAAGGGTTCCCTAGGGTAGAAGTTACCTGCTACATTATCTTTCTTCGCTCGAATCTTCACTTGGGCTTTATTTACATTTTGGATAACCGTGGTGCTGCAGGGGGAAAAAAAGGCTTTGATTTAGGTTGAGTTTTTAGAGTTAGGAAATAAAACAGGGACCCATCGGGTAATTTCATCAAGAGTGAGATGTCACAAGTATGTTGTGATAATTGTCTTTTTCAAGAAAAGGAAAACAATCACTGCTTCCAGAGGAGGGCCTCAGAGAGAAAAGAATGAACAATATTCAAAACATTAGCCATAAGAAAACAACAAAGAATGATTTTAAAATACATGGATTGCTTGAGTTTTCAGTCAGACATATAGGACACAGATGTGACTTTAAGGATTCTTATTCTAATGTAATTTGGAAGAAATTTTCCTCCCTTCTAGGTTTGGCTAAGCAGGCATTCAATTCCTTTATCCTGGAACTATCTAACTTCCATCTGGCTTTGTCTGATTCTCCACCTATTATCATAAAATAAAGTGTTTTTCCCAAAACCACCATAAAACACATTCCCATACCACTTACACACTATTAACTCCCTCCCTGTGCTGGAAAAGTCAATGCAAATTGTTATCCTACCAACACTGACAAAAACTAAAATCTACTTCAAAAGGCCTTATGCCCTCACGCTGGAAGACCTGCCCACCAGGTCATTCTCCTAGATAATACAAACTAAGAATGAGGCATTGTGTCACTGGGTAAAGAACCCCCTGAAAACCTCCACCTCTGCCCCTAAACAGCCGTGACTCAGGAAGGCACTGAACTTAAAAGTGAGAATAATAATGCTTACCTTGTCTACCTCACAGGCTTATTTGGGGAATCACATAACATGTAAATTGATAAAACTCCTTTGTAAAGCAATAACTAAACCATTTTGTATGCTTTGTAAAGCATATGCTGACACGACAAAAGCCATATAATTCATGCCCTTTAAACAATCAATTCCATTCTCAAAAATTTATTCTAAGGAAGTAATTCAACAGAAGCCAAAATACATATGCATGAAGATGTTCATGGCACCTTTTCTAATATTCCAAAAATCTGAAAATCAACCCAAAGATCCACTATTAGGAGAAAAGTTTAATAAATGATGGTACATCTAGAGAAAGACTGATTATGCAGCTAAGTGAAAACAAGGAGAAATGTTTATGATACAATATTAAATAAAAACAGACTATAAGATATTAAGTACCCTGTGCCTGCAACTCTATAACAGACATGTGGGTGGTAAGAAAGATAGACAATAGTGTTAAGGAGATAGGGTTAGAAAGGTTCTTCCTTATTATTACTAGTGTATCAGTTGTCTTTAAAGCTCATACATTTTTAAATTAAAAATGGCTTTTAAATGAAATTATGAACATGAAAGCACTTTAATTTTTAAAACACCCCATTCAGTCTTTTTACCTGAAGTCGCCTGCTGTGAACTTGGCCTCAGCAAGTGAAAAGGCAGCTTCTCTCATCACTTCACCCATTAACATTTTAGTCTGGAAAAGCATAAACCAACAGCCAATTCAACCAAGTTTTTACAAGGAAAAATCATGTCATAATTGTATTCCTTTAATAACCATCATATTTTATGTCAGATGTGCATGTAAATATTGATTTGATAATGACAAAACACAATAAAAATTTCCAAATTTGCTTGAACAGTTTTGATTATGGTCACTAACAATGTTGCAAAACCATGAGTTTTATAATCAAAATATCAAAATAAAGGCATTAAGAAATAGAAAACCGAACCTTTACTGCAAGTACTATGTTATTCCTGAATGGGTCCATGCTTGAATTAATCTCAATTCACTTACTGCCATGCAATCAAAATACTAATGGCATAGTGATTCTAAAATAAATCTAGAATATTTAATGTTTGAGAATATCCAATAATTTTTTTGAAAGAGAAGAAACACTGGGACAGGTGGGTGGAGAGTTATCTTACCAAGTATTAAATATGTACAGCTACGATAAGGAACTAAATCTGGTACTGGGACAGGTAAGTGAATAAAATGGAATGGAGAGTACAGAAACAGCCCCAGGTCTATATGGGAATTTGGTAATGTAAAGAGATCATTTATGGGGCCGGCCAAGTGGCGCGTTGGTTAAGAACTGGCTTGGGATACCAGAGGACCCCGGTTCGGATCCCACATATGAGGGCCAGTGACACTGCCCTCTGCAGCTAAGATGGTGAATGGCAGCTCGACCTGGGGCTGGACTGCCGTGGGTCACTGGCGACGGCGTAAGCTGAAGCCCCTGCTGCAGTGGGTTGCCATGGGCTAACGTGTGTGGCCAGCAGCCGCCGTGAGCGGCCGTCCAGAAGCCGGAGACTGATCTGCCTCGCCCAAGAAGAGCACAAGATGGTGCCAACTTGGGCCAGTGAAGCAACATCCTCCACAACTAGACTGAAGAACAACAATAAAAAAAAGCAACTTGTCTGTTCCCCTCCCCCAATAAAAACAAAATCTAAAAAAAAAAAAAAAGAGAGAGATCATTGAACCGGCCATTTATTTACAAAATGATAAAGTTAAATCCCTACCTCCTCATATTTCTCTCTCTCTCTCTCTCTCTCTCTCTCTCTCTCTCTCTCTGTCTCTCTCTCTCCCTCTCTCTCTCTCTCACACACACACACAGAATCAGAAAGTATTAAAGACAATTTTTAAAAAGCTATAAAATAAAAAAAACAAAATATAGCAGACTATGTTTCTAATCTTTTTAGGCCTTCCTAAGCATTGTATGTAACTCTCAAGCTACATGAAAGACTAACACAGATTTGACCAAATAAAAATTAAGACATCTTTTAAAAAGTTAAAAAATAAGCAAAAACTTGGGGAAAATATTTTTAGCATCTTATATACTATGAATATGTAGAAATTCTACAAAAAAATAAATTCACCAAGAAAATAAAATTACCAGTAATCACAACCTCACAAATAATCAAAAGTAGTGCAAATTAAAATAAGATACCAATTTTAGCCCAACAGATTGGCAACAGATAAAAAAGATTAATAACTAATTAAGAAGAATTTAAGAAAATAGGTAGAAATATAAATTAGTATACAATTTGGAGGCCAATTTGGCAGTTGTCTATCGAACATTTAAATGAACAGATCCTTGAGATTCTAAGATTCTCTTCGAGAGATGCTAGCATACATACACATAAGATTTAAGGAACCATCCCCGACAAAATGGTAAAACTATACATCCATCAATACAGAAATGGTTAAATTGCATTACCCATGCAATGGAGTACCATTCAGCTATTATAAAGAATGAGACAGATCTACATGTATTGCTGTAGAACACTGTCCATATTCTGCCATGGGATGGGGAAGGGGGTGTGAAGCAAAAAATATTACAGAATTATATACATATAAAATAGTTGCATGTTTGTTACTAAAAACAACTGTGTGTGGACATGATAGCTACATATGATATTCTTGGTATCTGCTTTACAAAAGCAATACTTTTCAGTATATGCTACCAAAAAGTGAGGGAGAAAGGGAGGGAAGGAGGAAGGGAGGACCGAACGGCTATAAAGCAAAGTGTCACAAAGAACTCCTTTGGGAAATGAAAGGATAGTTGGGGCTCCGGGGAAGGGGATATGGGAAAGAACATTCACGGTTTTTATACACTTTTTTTTTTTCCCCCCAAGCTGGGCCATCTTGCCACCTGTTGGCAGCTCAGAAGCAGCTCAGCTCAGGAATCAAACCAGCGACCCTGTTACTCAGAGCTTGCGCTATTGAGCGAGTTCTTAACCAACTGAGCCACTTGGCCAGCTTTATATACTTCTATATTCACACATCATTTATCCAAAAAGCACTGAATTAAAGCATTCTACGTGCCAGCACTGTTGTAGGCACAGGAAACACAGTGCTGAGAAGACAAGGTCCCTGCTCTCATGGAACATACCTTCTCTAGTGGGGGTAACCATCAAACCAGAAACCCCTCTGCGGTGGCATGGGCTCCGATAAACGTAAAATCACGAGCTGTGAATTCGGCCGTCACATCAGATTGGGGGATCAGGGCTGGCCTCTCTGAAGAGACCAGAACAGCCAGAGCAGCCAGCCATCAGACATTGTGGGGAAAGAGCATCTGGGGCAGAAGGAAAGCTATGCCAAGGCCCTGAGGGAGGACGTTAGGAAGAATGTGCCCAGTGAGGTCAGAGAGACAGGCAGGAGCCAGGTTGGATCAAGTGGGGCTAGTGGGCAAGAGGAAGGAGTCTGGACTTTATTAAGCTATGTGAAAGTTGGTACTTTATAATAGTTATTTTTACTTTTGAAAGAAAAAAAATTAAAATAACTTAGTGAAAAATTAAAATGTCAACAAGCCAGGCTGGATTTTCCTGAGATATTTCTAAAATAAATACTGTTCTAAGCAAAGTTCATTCTACCTCTATGATCTTCTTTAGGATCTGTCGAAATCGAAGAGTTAAGGCATCAGATTTCTTCTTCAGGAGGTTTCGACCTGTCTGTGCTCCTTTTAATCGAGCCTTCATGATGGTCTGTGCCCTATATAAACAAAGTTAAAGGCATTTACTCCCATTGTTTAACAGAAATAAAAATACCTCCCCAATACAATGTTAAAATTATGCTTTGTTCTTTGATGTCATGACAGTAAGAATATATATAGCCTTTGTACCTGCCAGGTTTACCTGATTTCTCAATACTGTGGATTTCCACTCTCAGTGTTCCATAAATGAGAAGTTTATTTAAAACAGAAACAATTTTTTAATCAATATCTGGAATAAGTATTTTTTAAATTGTAATAAAATTTATGAGGAGCCCTATTTTATGATGCCAGCATAATTTACTTATTTAATTTGTAAGTTAAAACAATATCTGTGTTTCCATTAGAAGCATATTAAGGATCAAAAAAAAAATCTGTCAGAGCCGGCCGAGTGGCTCAGTTGGTTAAGAGCTTGCTCAAGAGTTTGAGCTCTGAGCAACAGCGGTTCGAGTCCAGCCCGAGCTGAGAAGCCGCTGAGCTGCCAACAGGTAGCAGGATGGCTCAGCTAAAAAAAAACAAACAAAAAAAAACCAACAACAAAAAAAATCTGTCCACTAATACATACCAAAATTTGAAAGGCACCTTCAGGACCAACAATTTCACTTTGAGGAATTTATCCTACAGATTTACCCCCACATGTATACAAAAACATAATACAAGGTGTATTCCAGCCTTATTTATAATAGCAAAAGAATGGAAACAAGGTAAATGTTCCATAAATCATGGTTCGTTATAAAATGGATATGCAGCAGTGAAAAAAGAGGAAGGCAGATCTCCATGTGCACTCTACATTATATTGTCTTAGCTATGCAAAGTAAGGGGTAAATACGCTTACATAGACACAGAGACCAGTTCTAAAAAGGATTCACAGAAACTGCTAACAGTTTCCTTTGGGAAATGGGCTGAGAAAAATAGATTTGTTTTTTTACTACTATATTCATTCATTCTTTTGTACCTTTTTCATTTTATTCCATAGCCAGTTACTACTTTTTCTATTAAAAGCATGACATTAAACACCTGGAGATTCTTTTTTATTGGAAAGAACATCTAATAAGACACTCTCCAACCTCACTGGAAGGGACATTATCAGGCACCTAATTGCGAAGAGACATTTACTCCTGTCTACGGAAATCAGACTCCTTAAGGACGAGAAACCACCGACACCAGAGGTAGACAGCTGTCCCAAGCCATCGACAAGGCCTGTATACCTATGGATTGATACTGAACTCAGAATCCATTTTGTTTGACTGTCTTTACCTGTCTGCTAATGATATTAGTCATAATAATAGTTATACTTGTTTTTTTGGGTTTTCTATATAGTCCAATTATTTATGATTCCTGAATATGTATAAGATAACTGTTAATACTCTTCACAGATTATGTAAATGTTATTTTTAAAAGTGCAGCATTAAAGTGTTTTTGATGTCATCAGTCAAGACCCTACTACCAATCATTTCATTAATTTGTAAATGACTTTATGCAACAAATTAGGTAACAAATGACTTTAGGTAACTTGTAAATGACATATATAAGTAAATACTCTCTAGAAGTGACAAGCAACTCAAGTCTCCTTACCTTCTTATTTCAAACTTTTCCTATCAGAAACCCCAATACCAAAGTCGAGAAAACAGCAGCAGAAATTGACATTTCTGTTCTTGCTACCATATATACCGTATGCCAGATGAAATTTAATAATGGGCGGCGGGGGAAAAGTGGGTAATAAGATTCAACAATAAATCGTGTAACATAAATACTTAAAGTGATTTAAGGGGATTTAATTTCATATGACTGGTATTATAACCAACTGCAAAACAGTACATATTAATGGACCTTTTGGCTAAATTCTTAGATTATATTGAAATCTTTTACCACAGGGCAAAGGTTACTGAAACAATTCTATAGTTGGTAAGGACTTCAGACATTTTCCTGAAAGTTAGGAAAATGAGGCTCAGCAAAGTGAAACAACTTTGCCACAGTTACTCAGTGAAGAAAAGGCAGAGCGGGACTTGAACTGGATTTCTGACTCCAGTGATTGCCCAACGCTCAAACTAAGGCCAAAACCTAGGTCCGCTATACCCCAACATGCCACACTGCCTCCCCTACAGATTATAAATAGCACCAGATAAAGAGTTCTCTCTCTAGCTCTCAGTGGCTGACTTTGCACTGACTGGGCCAAGTGAAACTGGTTGTTTCCAGCCTAAGAAGGAGCTAGCCACCCCAGTGTGTACATTTAAACATGTATTGTTGACACTAACCACCAGAATTTGGGCTCAAAGAGTTGAATCAAATTTAAGTCAAATTTTAGTACTGCAGATTCCAGTAAGCTCATAAAAAAGGCAAACTGGTTGATGAAACTGAATTTAACATTGCTAATTTTCATTTTCTCCTAGGTAATGGCACCTCTGTGAAATAGGTAAATTTTCATTCTTGAGACTCAAAGACCAACTTGACCAAGGGCTCGTGAGTACAACCTGGAATTAACTGACTTCTGTTGACTCTCCTCTTTTGCTTCCCCCCTAAACTTGTTTTGCTCTCTCTGGTGCCTAAATGGGTGTCAGCCTTATTTCACAGGATAACACCGTAAGCTGGAACTGTCTGAAAAAGAAGTCACTAATGTATTTTCTAGCCTAGCTCTTAAAACACCTGGTCTTTTACAAGTTTCAGAGCTGCTGTGCCCTACTGAAAAGTGTTTGACCTTCAGCTAGGATGATAACTTTGTTTCCAGCTGAATCAAAGACATCTGACTGCATGACAAAGTACCTGCTGCTAAGCCTTGGGGAAATATTTCCAGAAGCGATTACTTCCTGCACCTGATTTTCCTCTCAACTAGCACTGAGTGCGCTCAGCTAGCACTGAGTGCGCTCAAATAGCAATTTCCACCTTCACAAACACATCATTCTTCTTGTCTAAGGCCAAATAAGTTTATTTGCACCTCTCAGTCTTCAAGTAAAAACAAAAAAATTGTTAACATTCTGACTACAAAGATAAACACTGCCAAACATTAAATTGGTGAAAACCGATTTTATTCAGTAACCACGGGGGGGGGGGGGGGAGGAAGCTCCACTCCAATTCATGCAGAGGTGATTGGACGTTTTAAAGGAAGAATGAGGGAGGGGAGCTGAAGGGGACTCACGGAGAGTGAGAGAAGTGAAAAGTGACAAAGGGCGGTCAGTGGGAATGGGATTAGGCAGCTGTGTCTGCTAGCTGGCCATTATGGAAGTTAGGACTCTGTCCTCCCACAGAGAATGGGAGACAAAGGCCCTATCCTACCTGATGACTACATTTCAGAGAAATTGTTTTCAGGTCCTTGAGAAAGATACTTCTAAATTGTAGGAGAGATAAATACATCTCAAAGGGAAAGTGAAGAATTCATAATGGTAAGTCCTTTTCAGTAAATGCCCTAAGAAAGAGAGGTCGGGGCCTATCCTCAGGTGTTGGCTAGAACAAAAACTAACTTCTCCTGAGAGCAGCCGAGCTTTCTCAAGCAGACATTTTAATGGGGGCTGGGGTCATCCTAGGAACACAGCCTTAAGCTTCTAGAATCTAGATGCTATGTTCAACTTTAGCTATCTCTGGTGCAGAGGTTTGGCAGGACTCAATCACGCAGTTCTCACTACTCCAGGGTAGTCCTGACCCTCATCTATTTCACAGGCATTGCCTTTCTCCACAACTGACTTGATTCCCACCTAAAACAAACTGCTATTAGAAAGTCAGTAGGTAAAGGTAAAAAATAAACCAAAAGCCTAAACTCCTTCATTTAATTAATAGTTGTAGCCACCTAGGCAGAGACAGAAATTTAGGTTTGGGCTTTGAATATAACTCTTATTTTATTTTAAGAGTCCTCAGATTCTGAGAAAAAGGTCAGAATGAAGAAAAACAACACTCCCAGAGACAGGACCACAATCAAAAGATCTAAATGTCAGAGCCACAACTGATTTTCTGCTCTTCACTGAAAAAAAAGAGGAAAAGGAGAAGAGGGCAAACATGAATAATCTTTTCTTTCCACACCTTGTTAGGTACATTTGAGAAAACCTCAAAATATTTTTTACAGACTGGCCAAACACCTAGGACGATATGCTATTTCTCCTGCCAAAGAATTCAGGCCAAAAAAGAAAGGCAGCCCACATCTGAGCAGATTCGAAGACAAGGGTTCATTCAAGGAACAATTTTTTGTGGACAGCCTATGGATTGATAATCAGGTCACTCTGATCCTGCAGAGAACTCACAGTCCAGCGGGAAAAGTATGTAAACAAATATTATCCACTGTTACAATGTGACTAAATGGGTGATGTTAACAGAGGTCTGAACAAGGTGCAATGGTGGCAGAGCAAAAGGAGTGCCTGAGAAACTCAGGGGTATCTTCCCACCGCAGGTGACATTTTATGGGATCTTGGAAAACGAGTATCGGGACCCAAGATTGAATCTGACGTCCACGTTAAAACATTTTGATTCAACCCCAGTATGGCTTAGAAGTCTCTTCTATATGCTTCCCACTGCAGTCAATTTCCCTTCTCAATCCATTTATCAAACCTCGTTGGCTTATCCATCTCTCAGCTAAACTGAGTTCTGGTTAGGGCAGGAGTGGTGACGATTCAGTTACATAAATCCAGTGCCCGGTTCAATAAGGGAGTGCGGAATGAATGGATCGATTAAAGGGTAAAATCAGCGGACCTACACAAAAGCCAGCAGGCCGGGTGTCTGTCCCTATGGGCTGGGATCGCTCTGACCAGTCTGGTTTACTCAGAGGAATGTGTGAGGGGCCGTCAGAGAGCCTCGCCCCGAACTCACTAAAAGAGAGTGGGAGGCTCAAGAACCTGCCCAGAAAACCAGGAACCTCGCTGCTGGTCCAGGGTACGAAGGAAGCGCCGCGGCACGGGCCAGGCGTTCCTGACCCTATGACGGTTGCTCGTCCCGTCCTTTTACTTACATTCGCGAAGGAAAGATTTCAATTCGATCTTTGCCCGACATTCTGACGATGACTCTGTGGCTCGGGTCCCCGGCCGGGCTATCGTAGCTGCAACAAACCCAGCCACAGCGTCTTTCTTTACCGGAGTCAGCTGGTTGTGTCACTTGACCCCTTCGCGTTGCTAAGAGGCCGCTGGGCTATGCATACTCCACTTCCGCTTCCTGTTGGTACGTGGGGTAGAGGGTGGGCGTGGGAGGAGGGAAAAGGACCGGAAGCAGGCGATGCCCGGATGTTCAGGCGCGCGCACCACCGAACGGCACCTCAATTCCGGTCAGCTTCCTAGCCCCTCCCGCTCCACCTCCCAGGCGGCTGCGCAAGGCTTTGCAAGCGCGGGGCGAAAGAACAGGAGACAAGAGTATACTCTTTCTCTTCCTCCGCTTGTCGTCTTTGGTCACAGCGCCACCTCATGGTGGCCTGAAGTTTTGAGCGAGGGTTTATTCTTTAGGAGCAAGGAGTGAGAGTTCTACTTCTCCCTACGCCTTAAAGGTTTACTTACCGAAAACTAAAGATAGTGAAAAAAAACGTACTTTTCAGGTCCTCCAGCGATCTACAGTCTTCCTGGTTCTCGGAGGACCCAGACTCTATGATCAGTGACGTAGAGGGCCTCTATTCTGTTGGCGCTTGCGTGATACGAGGTGGTGCCGCATGCGCAGTGGGGTTGAGCGAAGCGCACGCTGAGGAGGCTCCGCGTCTGCTGCGGGTAGCTCAAGTCTGATCTCTCCGATAAAAGAGCGCGGCGCTGGACCCCACTGCGGGATCCACAGACATACCTCAGGTAACTAGTCCCCTAGATCGGCTTCTGAAAGAACTCACTTTGGTTGTGTGTAGTGACGGGTGGTCGACAGAGGGTAGGCCCCGGGCTAACACCTCTCCCGTTCCTGCTCGAGAAGTGTCTGTGGACACCACCGACACCACCCGCCGGCTCCGTGTCGGTCTTCCGGAGTTGCAGGTGCCATTGTACGAGCGGAGGAACCTCGTGAAGGAAAATGGGCCAAGTGACTGTACAGCCTCTTCAATATGCTTAAAAGGGTTCCTTGCGGTGGGGCGGCCTCGGGAGAACGCCGTGACACTCCCGCACCAGGGGTGAGCACTGCTCTTTCCGGGCCTGAGAATTCCATCCATTCTTTTTTTTCTCTCTCTCTCTTGCGCTCCAGCAAATACTACCTCTCAGTGGAAACCAGACCGGACCCTTCCAGGGACCAGTGGGATGGGTCACAGTGTTGACAAGAGCTGGCTTATAAAGGGTCCAAGGGCAGTTTATTTGATAGTTTATTTTTAAAAATTGAGGCTCATATTATCTTAGCGCTCCTTGTATGAGTCACTCCTTGAATTGGAACTAAAACATGCTTTTAAAGAGTTTATTACGCTTCGCGGTCGGTTTGCTGTATTTCAGCACCAATGAGAACAGACTTGTGGAATTACACGGTGTGGTCTTACAGTTAAGCAAAACTGAAAAGATAAGGGAATTTTAGGGTTAAATACGTATTCAGCCTGAGGTCCCTTTTGTTACCTCCAAACTTAAGCTACTTTAATGTTCATTAAACAGGAAACACTTTCTTGGAGAAAAGGTGTAGCAGAAAAGTCCGTTTTTTCCTTCTGATTGAAGTTGTTATTTAAGGAAAAAAGTTGTAACTCTGTCTTTCAACAGTTTGGAAATTACTTCCATGAGTAGAACTTTACTGCCAATTCTCAGTTCATCTGATGCCAAATGAGAATTACTAACTCTCAAAAGATCTCATACAGATGCACAGTAATGTTTGTAGATAATGGTGCTTCCTATTTCAACTACAGTGAAGTAGTTTAAAAGCTTTGTGTAGCACTCCTATACTAAAAACTAGTATGCAGAGAGCATAAGTGTTAGAGCCTAATGACAATTATCGCAAGAGCTGTTTCTATCACATAATACACTTTAGTTTGGAAAGGAATGTGGACTTCCTGTATCTATTGTGGTGACTTGACCATGCCCTGGCTTAAGACAAGAAGTCCTACCTACCATTTGATGAGGCAAAATTACGAATACAGGTTATTTGAAATTACCTTGGAGGTCAGTTAATATATTGTGAAAGATAGGTGGTCATTACCAAAGAACACATACTGTATTGTAGCACTCTGGCATGTTGGGGCTCTATATTTAATGTAGAAGACTTGGCTTTAGCCCCTGTTCTTGTACTTACTAAGCAAGCATTCGTCCTTAAGGAAGTCACTTAATTCTGTCCCTTGGTTCCCAGTTAATTGATCATTTCACTGTGCTCCTTTCATAATACCATATATTGCAATTATTTGCTTATTAGTTTGTTTCCCAGTCTTAAATTTTGTAGGTAACAGTCTTAATTGTATCAGTAGTGCTTAAGTAATCGTTTAACAAATTAAGCTACACGTGGAAATAATGCTTCCTTTGCCTTTTAATTTCTTTATATTTGTATAGCACATTATACTTTCTGTTTTTCATGTATTTTGTCTCATGTGGTACTCGCCACAAATCTGTGAGGTACATACACAGACAAGAAACTACAGTTCACTGGGAATACATTTCCAAAGCAACCACAGCTAGTAAGAGAGCAAGGACTGGTACCCACATCTGTAGCTATTCCCGAAGTTCACTAAGTCCTGACAAGGACTTACTGAGAGCCAAATAAAATAAAAGTAAGTCAAAGTGCTTTGAAAGTTATATAAAGGGCCAGTATATACCTTCTGTATATATTTATGGCTTCTATTTTCCTAACAGATCTTTTTTAAGTTAGTGTGATTGTTACCATAAATAAGATACGTTCAAAATCTTTCAATCAACATGCAGGTTCTTTGTGAAATGGATTCTTTTTGTACTTATCAGCTACTTTCTTTATTGTGAATAACATACCATCAGCAATATTTGTTTACCCTACATATTGCAAAATACGTATATAAAGCTGTAACATGTCTCCCTACAGGATTCTTTTGCACTATTGCCTATTTTCTTTAACCATCAAATTAAGCCTTGCTTCCCTCAAATTATCAGTGTTACTATTTGAAGAAACTTGATAAGTAAATGTTGCTAGCATATGTTAAAGCTCTTCAAACTATTTCACACATTTTCATCGCATTTATTTTGATACTCAGTTTAAAACTTTTTTAGCTCTTAAATTTTAGTACTTTACATACAGATATTTGACAACAAATTTTTTTTAAAGGCCCTGTTTAAAAATGAAAAAAATGAAACAACCAGTTCAGCTGTTTCTTGGTGGGTAATTCTGGCCATTGTTTGCTTCCCTTTATTTGCTAAATCTCTATTTTGTCAAGCTACAAGAGAAATACATCTCTGCCACTGTTACTAATATGCTGCTTTATTTTTTTGTTAAACAGGATAGATTAGTACTGAAAGTTTTCACTAATCTGTGGTATATGCTCCAGCATTGAATATGTATGTTAATGTCACTTTTTGTTTAAGATGTTTTTAATTGTAATATATTTATCATAATACTGAGAGAAAATATAGCCTGATAAATAGCAGACTATGGCTCCAGCCTTCATAGGTTCAAATTCTGACACTATCACTTGTTAGCAGTATATAACAGAACAAGTTGCTTAACCTACGCTTCATTTTCTTCATCTATAAAATGGGGAGAACTAGGAAGAAAGTGGTATGCCTCAGGGAGACAGGCAGTGGCCAGATCATATAGGACCCTGTAAGTAGTAGAAAGATGTATAAATCAATAGGAAGCCACTGGGAAGTTACAGGCAGATGCAGTTAGCAGTTCTCAAACTGCACTGCAGCAGAATTCTAGGGTTCTGTGAGCTGGGTGTGGATGTCCTATCTTTATTTCCCAATTAATAAGAAAATAATAAGTTAGCAAATTTTCACATTTTTTATAGGCCTTTAGATCCTATTGCCTGTCTTCTGAGCTTTGACAACAGTAAACTGGCTACACTTAGCGGAAAAACATGAAATTCATCAATTATGATTAGTTTGAGAGCTTCCCTTTAAAATTATATTTCTGCTCATGGTATGATTTCAGGATTGTGGGTCATAAAAGGAATGGTGCTGAAAGTAGGTTGGGTGGATCAAAGGGAATAGTTTTAAATATATATGATACTTGGAGGTTAAGAGAAACTTAAATTTTATAGTAATGTAGATCTATAAAGCTAGTCTCAAGATTTCGTATACCTATTCAACAAAAGAAAAGAGTATTTGGGAGTAATGGGAAAAGTAGAAATAGAAATTATGGTAATTGTGAATTAAATTCAAGTTTGTTTTAAAAGGAAAAAAATCAGAATACGTTTTGGTTAAATTTAGTATCTTTTCTGATTAATAAACTTTTAGTTTTTGTCCTGTCATATGATACTGTAATTTTGGCTATAATGACTTATAGGATATATCATTTGATAAATGGTTAGGGTTTTAGTAGTCAGAAGATTCTTTCCTTTATGTAATGGGTGGTAGCATTACAGTCCTAGCTGATTTGGAGAAAGAACAGCTTTAGAATTCACTGATAGGTTTGTAATAGTAGTGATGTTTCCCATCATTTGTTATTTCTTGAAGTGGTGGTATTAAAATAGTATTTTACTCTTAAGGTGTCCCTTTAATCTTTAGGTAACAGAGGTTAGCTGTACTTTATAGATGGTCATTACTTTTTATGAGTCCTCTGAAACTGATGGTAGAGAATCATCCAAGCCTTACAAAAGTGTGGAGCAAAATAAAAATGAAAGCTTGATTCCTGAACATTATCTGTTTTCTGATACCATTTAAGAAGTTTAAAGAGGTGAGAAGACTAACAACTTCTCACCTTCTGACAACATGTGGAAAATGGACATTTATTTTGACTCTAACTGAACACTTACTTGATTCTTTTGTTTATATTGCAGAATGCCGGGTCTAAGTTGTAGATTTTATCAACACAAATTTCCTGAGGTGGAAGATGTAGTGATGGTGAATGTAAGATCCATTGCTGAAATGGGGGCTTATGTCAGCCTTCTGGAATACAACAATATCGAAGGCATGATTCTTCTTAGTGAGTTGTCCAGAAGGCGTATTCGTTCTATAAACAAACTCATCCGAATTGGCAGGAATGAATGTGTGGTTGTCATTAGAGTGGACAAAGAAAAGGGTAAGTGAGAAAAATATCTAAAATATGAATTTCAGATTTAAATTGGCTTACTGTAAACTATATTGCTTGTAAATTGCCTACT